TCCTCCTCTTCCCCCGTCCGTCCGTATCCGCATTTTTCAATTTTCCTGTAATTTACATTTTCGGCCGTTTCGTTTCGGTCGTTTCGGTCGTTTCGTTTCGGTTGTTTCGTTTCGGTCGTTTCGTTTCGGTTGTTTCGTTTCGTTTCGGTGGTTTCGATGGTTTCGGCCGTTTCGTTTCGGTCGTTTCGTTTCGACGTTTCGCCTTTTAGTACATGCCGTTGTCAAGTATCAGCTAGATCATTATTAACATCACCAAATTGCAAGTATACCGTTCGTATATTAGAGAAAATCCTCATAAAATAACCATATATTCATGACAATCAAATAACAATTGCAATATATTTAAAAAGTGTAAATTAGTAGTCACGCGGATTTGCGTCCATGTGCTTCAACTATAAATCTTTACATCAACCACTGAACTAAAAAACCTGGAGCGCTGTCTCCAAAGTTCTAATTACGTTGAAATAATAGTAGCTCATTGAGGGATTTAGGTAAATTACGCGACAACGTTCCTTAGTTTGCCGTATAGCACTACAGTTAATCTTAAAATTAATATTGTAACAAGAAGGCAAGTTTCCATGATGACATGGACCAAGGTTCTATACTTCGATAGTCTGATAGATCAAACATTTTCAATCGTCGACTCATTCCCACTTTCGTTGGGCAATATAACTGCTGCGGGCCTTTCCATTGTTCTATAAGTATTATTACTTCTCCCCACTCCACTTCCGACCAAGTCGCCTTGTAATAGGTTACCCAACTTGTTGTATGGGACAAAAACATGTCGGACGCGTTGCATGACGTCGTAAACATGACGGCCAAACTCGTCCACATTCCCCCACGCATTTTGAAACCACTCCGTCGCTAATGGTCGAATCAGCTGAAGTCTGTCATACCATGAATGTCGCGCGGGTCCTGTATTCATGTAATCTTTTCGGTAGCGCACCACACCACGCGAGAAGCCTGGAGCTGGTTCCCCTTCACTTGTCTGGTTTTGGTATTCAGCTGAAATATTGTTGCCTTCCAGCTGCTCAAGACAGTGGGATCGTGGCGGTAAAATATCCAAACTACTGGCGTAATAAGTAGGGCCTAGATAATTCAAATTTCAGTATGTAGATTATTAATGTCAGTAGACGTTGATTTGATCGTGTATGTTAGCAATCTAATAAAACACTGGAAATATTAAAATTTAAAACAATCATAGTCCGTTTAGTCAATCAACATATGGTCTGGAAAATCGATAAGCTTTATAGCGTCTATAATGTGCTACGATGTTATGTTGAGACGACTTCACCATTATCCAATCTTTTAAATTTTATTATATTCATTTTGAAATCAATGGTGTTTCCTGCAATCTGATTGGTTCACAGGAGTGCGATTTCAGCACGAATCGCACTCCTAGCAGTGCGATACGTGCTGAAATCGCACCTTCTTTCAACAAATCATATTAGAGTGCTGACTTCAGCCAACCAATCATATTTAATCATAGGATTCAAACAGCCAATGAATTTTAAGAAAAATGTGATATGGCAAATGAGCAAAAACAAAAAGTTTACATGTCATATGATTACTCTTGAGTGCCTAAGCAATTTTTTGCACATAAAAACAAAAAAATATGGATAGCTACAGTAAACTATCAACGAATTGCAAAGAATTTAAATTTTTTTTAAATTTCACAAATAGTAACTGGCAAAAATGCCAACAAAAGCAAATTTAAAGCGTCAAGTCAGACAGGACTACGGGAAAACAAAAGGTAAATTCGCCTATCGTATTTCCAATTTTAAACGCACAAAACTGCACCAAAACTCTTTCAATCACTCGTAGGACCTACAATGTGTTTAAACTTACTTGTGTTGTCTCTTATTCTGTATAAATGTCTTCATTTCTTTAAGATTTTTGCAGTTTTTGAACATATTTATAAACAAAACTTACAAATCAATTAAACTTCATCTTGTTCGCTTATTGTTGCTATGCTACAGCACTCAGGGAGTTACCGGAGGTGTGCCTTTTGCAAACAAAAACGTTTCCGATTTACAAAAATATTTAAGATTTCAAAATGAATATAATAAAGTGGAAATTGAACTTCGTGTCGTGCAATTTTGGACTGAAATCAAAGTTGTGATTACAAATCGCACCCCCGCTTCGCCGTCGTGCGATTTTGTAATCACGCGTTTGATTTCAGTCCAAATTGCACTCCACTCAGTTCAATTACCATTATTAATTGATTGGAGCGTAGGAAGCATCAAACTATTGGGGGGAGGGGGGGGGGCACCGACTTTCAGGGGCACTTTTGAAAGTGAAAAGGCACCTAAATGTTCTGGTCATACCACATTTCATGCTTATTAATACAATTGATTTCTTAAATTTTCGAATTCCAACGTACAATGAACTTAATTTTTGACCAAATTATTTTTAAAAACATAAGAATTTCCTCACAATAAGGGCATCTTCGATGTTTATATCAGGGGCGTAACTCCTGAGGGGTAGGGGGGGGGGGCGACCCCCTCCAATGTTGTAATATTGCAGTTTTGTCGGGCAATTTTAGTAATTTTAACGACACGCTCGTCGGGCAAAAATATTTAATTCACCAAAACATTTTACATAAATAATAATTATTGTAGGCAAAATTGTAATTGTAGGAAAAATTTTGATAAATTTACGAAAATGTTCCTGACAAATTGTACAAATTTCTGTAAGTTAGTGAAAAATGGTATGGCTGAAATTTTTTTCTCGCGAGATTTGACGTGATCGATGATGCCAACTTAATATTACTTTCACAATAATGGATCTTTGTGTCAACTAACCAATCGAATTATTCAACAGTGTTTTTGAAAAACTTTCAAGAGATATGTTTGGATAAAGTTAAAATCATAGTTTGCACACCATGATCTCGATTAGTTTTGGTATATATTACTTGTAATTTTTCAAATCAAACGAAAAATGTGTAATAATTGAAAGAATTTGCAAATCAAATAAATGCATCAATTCTAAAAGGTTAGATATCAAAGCACAACCTCTTAATGAGAGTAGTTTAGAACAAAGAAAGAAGTAATCATGACAGGTTAAGACAATGACACCAATGTTTTCCCTAATCTTTTTGTTCTAAACAACTTATCTTTCAATTAGAACAAATTAGAATTTGACCTCACCTGCTTTTCGACGTCGTCTTCGAAGAATGAGAATAAGACATGCCACGGTTAAGATGATCACAGAAACAACAGCAACAACGGTGATACCAATCATCTGAGAGTCGAAGTGGACTGAAATGTTTTTAAAAAATATCTTTGTTTACTCGACTGGAAAAATGCTTTTTTGACCTCACTGATTTATTGCCCTGGTTTGTCGTGATGATAGTATTGACATTTTTTGCTGTCTGCCTCGATTTAATTTACCTTCTTGTAGCGGTCACCAGTTTGATGCTTCGATTCTATTTAATTTACCTTCTTGTAGTAGTCACCAGTTTGAAGACAGTTATGAAATAAAATTCAGCTATGAACGGTCAGGTGCAGACTTGTGACCGATCCATGCAATGTTTTGTCTGTTCCAATGCAGAAACCAGCGTGCCCTCTCAAACCGCGAGTCAGTAAAATAAATAAATCCAGCATATAAATGCTAAGCAAGAATATAATATACCAATAAAGAGTTGGCGCTCTTGATTTTGGAACGCTCCCACCACGCCCCTGTCCCCCGCCCGACCTACATACTGTAACCTCTGAAAGCCTTTAAATGATAGCTGAACAACTGTATATATAACAAAGCTATACACAGTATTGCATTAAATTTTAGACCAAAAATTTAAAGAGCTGGGGTTTCCAAGTACGAAAGATGGTCGTGTACAAGTGTTGGAAACATATACCCCGACCCTCCCCCAACGCAAGTGTCTGCCACTGTCTAGGCTTCTGGTTGAACACCATGTGCTGTATGATAATGCTTTTAAGCTTAAACTTAAAAGTTTGTGTAACCCTGCTATTTTGGGAAAATTAGCTGGACAAGGACAAAAATATAATAAAACCTTACCTGGACAAGGTTTTATTTCACAAGACCGAATCTGTTGAGGCGGTCCCTGTTTGCTACAATTTCCTCCATATTTTCCAGAGGGGTTATCACACTGCCGTGCCCTTATCTCTACACCTTGACCACACGTGGCACTGCACGGTGATGTTGTCCAGTTGCCGTAGTTGCCATCGACTAAAAATGGAAATGCACAATAAGGCACTCTACGTGGCACTTTGGTATGTATAACATTCTGGCTATGCAAAGAAGAAAAGCAATGCATTTTTATATTAAAAAGTATCATCTTGTTCTAATCAGGCATAATCTTGTTTGGGGTCTTGTGTTCGCTCTTTTACGTATTTTGGCCATTTATAATTATCATTTACGTTTGCTAATGTTTCCCCCTGAATAGGAGATAGTTCTTCCAAAACTTTAGAGAAGACACGACTGATAGATATATCCAGTAGAACAGTAAGTTTGTTGTTTAGTTGACGTTTTAGTCTAGCCTTACTTGGACATGGTTTTTGGGTACAGTTTCTAAACTCAGAAGAGCTCCCAAGTTCTCTGCAGTTTTCACCGCCGTATTTTGGTTCAGGTCTATTACAAAAACGTCGCCATATTTCCACGCCATCACCACACGAAACATTGCATGAGATACTCAAAGTCCAGTTGCTGTAGTCACCGTTAACTAAATATAATAATAAAAAATACCATGGGAATTAAAGGTCGCTACAGTAAATGTCTTGAGAAATATTTATTTTAATAAGGAATTAACTTACCAGGGCAAGGCTTTGCTGAACATGGTCTGTACTGAACATGTTCTCCTAGATGACTGCAATTTATTCCACCATACTTTGGTTGAGGATTGTTACATTCTCGTGTCCATGTTCCAAACCCTTCACCACAAGTTACATTGCACGTAATGTTTAATGACCAGTTGCCATAACTGCCATCAACTATGCGCAAAAGAAAAGCATTGAGCTTTCGTTGCCGCACGGCTTTAAAACAGTCTGGTTAAAATTTTTCTGTATATATTAACTAAAAATTAAATGGCAGTATTTGGAATAAACTTGGTTTCGTTGCTTTCAAACAAATCTAGATATTGTTGCGAAAGTTGCACCACAAAGGTAAAATAGGAAGGTCCTATACGACCCATGTTTGACCACACAGCACAGTTTAACTGTTTCAGGTAATTTAATCCCCAGTTTATGTTATACCTATTGTCCATGATGAAAGGATACCACAATCCAATATTACCAAATACCTGGTATACATCTAGGGATATCACAGTACTCCCATCTCTTGTTCCTATCTGTAGTAAAACACCAAGGTCGTTGTCCTGAGTTCTTAGGATTTCGACAATAATTCTGAGCGTTATTTAGTTCTGGATATGTTTCGTTCATGGTATGACGATGCAGACATTGTTCAGTCCATGATTGACACGGAATACCTGAGGCTGTGACAGATATGTTGCCATGGTAACTGCTCCCGTTTAAGAACAGACAATCTGTGCGAAAAAAGATTATATGTCTGGATTTATCGTCTCAGTTTTATCTCACAGATATTGTTGTCATTGTACTGTACATAATGTTATACATTATCAAACGTTAATGATACTGGATAGCCGTGTGAGTTCTAAACTGTTCTCCCTTGAAGTCCAGTAACGGCTAGCCATATTTAGGTCCAGTGTTAATGCAGAAAAAACCTAAACTAATCTAACTTTATTTATACTGGCTAGTTCTACCAACTCTAAACTTTTCTTTTTGTAGGTCCATCCATTTTTGCTCCAGTAGTGTTGGCACAGGGAGAAAAGTAAACTGATAACATTTTTAATGCTGAAAACCTGAACTGAGCTAAAGATACGAATATTTTATGAGTTCTGTATTGTTCTTCTCTAAGGTCCAAAATGGTCTATCCCTATTACGTCTCATGTCATTGCAGCGGTACGTAGGAAACTGGAGTACTGCAGGGAGAAAACCTGCGGTGTTTGGAAGAGCTTACGTACAAAAGTGTTCTTTTCTCATGCGACAGAACTTTAAGTTGGTTGCAAAGTGGCAAGGCACATACTTTGAACCACTGTTCTCGCACTGCTCACATGTCTAAGCCTCTGGCTAATTCGACCTAGCTCCTAAGCCAGGCTCTCTACTTCTGCCTCCATCCCAAACATGCATGGAGCGTGATTGGGAGGGAAGCGAAAGTAGAGAGCCTGCATGGCTTGGGAGGTTGTGGCTAATTCGGTAAATTAGGTTAAATATTAATTTGATTTAGGCTGTTCTCTGGGGTTTTTACCTGCGTTTGTAGCCAATTCTGGAGCTGGAAATGCATCTAAAAATAAGCAAAAACGAGTTACAATGAACAAATAGATATGATTGCTAGAGGATAATGGTTGATTAAGCCACCTGTAAAACTATATACTATTAGTATAAGCTCTACCAAAAAACCACAAATTTTTCTTGGTGAAGTTTAGAGCAGGTTTACAAGAAATAAAGTTAGAGCAGCATAGTAACTCAATAACTCATGTAAGCAATTTGACCTTCAGTGGCAGGCAGGTATTTGACGGAAAAATCGTAATTTGTGTACAGTATATATAGGCACTTTTATTTGCATATGCACAATATATATCTTATATACACTAGATAGAGCATCTCTTTTAGTAAAATTGAAGCCAAGAATATTCTAGCGGTTACCCCCATTTGAATAGATGGCGGCCCTGTTGGTACTTCCCACTCGCTAATAAACGCTTAAAAACAACAATAACTTTCATCATTTGAATAGTTTAAAAATTTATTTCGAATAGGTTTAACTTAATGCTTAAGTTCCCCTGTTTAAGAAATAGAAAACATACGAATCTTCTCATTTCATGGGAATATCCTGAGCCTGCAATCACGGCTTCAGTTTTTGAATTGCAGAATAATTAGATGCACTATCTAGTGTATATAAGATATCTATTATGATATGCACGCACTGCTTTCATTATGTATAATGTTACCTGTAGACTTTGTGTCTCCACTGAAATACCAGCATTCTGGTGAGTCACCAGCATTCCTTGTGGGTTGTAGTTCGCAACGAAGGAGCTTCGTTTCCTCCGCCTTCGGGTGGCGAATTGTATAAGACTTTACAAACATTTCCCACAGTTCACCACACATGCGAGTCAAATGAAGACACGACTCGTGGCATATCTTTTGTTCCTTAAACACACTTTGGGTTCGATCACAACTGGGAAAATATAGATGACAATACAGTATGGCGAAAGCTTGTCCGCACTTTCTAACAGTGCTGATGTCAACTTTTAAAAAGCGGCTTATTTTGGATGCACCTATCTTTACATCCCATGTGTCGTAGTCCATGTTAGCCCGATCGTTTCTATTATTCTGAAAGTCGGGTGTCTGATATACGTAGTTGGGTAAAGTGATTCCAACATTTTCACAAGCAGGAAGAGTGAAGTTTACCAAAGGATAGCAAGAGCTCGAGTTCAGCGTTGGTTCAGCTTCGGCAGGAAGACACGTCCTATATAAAGATTGAGCAAACTCTTAGATACTATTGGATAAGATAGTTGTAAATCCACGTCCATGCATGAAGCCTTTCTCAAAGCTAGCTGTGCTTGTGTCTGGCAATCCCCGAATATTGTAATAATAATAATATAATATATTTATATTTATTATAATATAATTATATTTTTCTACCTCTTTTTCCTCAATTTGTTTATTACTTTAACTTTTCATCCTTTACGAAATGTTCAATTGTCATAATTCTATTTACCGCCCACTTCCTACTTAATTATAAATTATTGTAAGTAGAACAAGAGCCCCTTGATAAGCTGAAAGCCCTTAATTGGGCAATTGTAATATTTCTTTTATAAGAACCACGTTTCACTTAATAAGCATAGGCGTACGTACGGGGCTGATGCTTTCCAGGGGGCAGTTGAAAGTTTTCCCGAATTTTTATGAAGGATTGTAATGAAATTAGCTCAATTTAACCTTTTTTCTGATAAATCTGCCCGAATTTTCCAAAATTTGGGTTGGGGGGGGGGGGGGCAAGTTTTCGTTGATATGTTTTCCTTAATAAATAAGTTTTATTTGTTCGTGTGTGCTGCAAAACGTGAAAAAGTTTTCCTTGGGACTGGGAGATATTCAAAAGCTATTCCTCAACCAGCGCGTGCTCGTACTCAAACAGCGCGTGCTCGTGAAACTTGTTAAGAAGGAAAAATTGTTTGAAAAAACTTATTTGTATTAATAGTCCAGTCAAATCACTATAAGTACATGGTCCTGATCAAAGTAATCGCAATAGACTTGTTTTCAGTGGTAAAGTGTGAGAAAAGTTGTTCTGATTAACATACTAAAAATCCAAAAAATCCCTTCGGTAGAACACGGTGAAAATCGAGTTTTTCTTACTTCTACCTATAGAAAATCATTGTGGACAGAATGTTGAAATTTTGAAATCATTTTTAGGCAAATGTAACCTACATTATTGGAAAGCTTAGAAAAAACTAAAATATGGATCATTAAACGGTTACCTTGCTTTTGCCTATCCAGCCGAAGTTATACACGATTTAAAATGCCATAAATTTGTATTTTGTGCAAATTTTGCGCTATTTTTCCAAATTTGAGCTAGAATAACGACAAACTGACCAGCAAATTGAATATAACCGTTTAATGATCTATATTTTAGTTTTTTCTAAGCTTTTCAATAATGTAGGTTACATTTGCCTAAAAATGATTTCAAAATTTCAACATTCTGTCCACAATGCTTTTCTATAGGTAGAAGTAAGAAAAACTCGATTTTCACCATGTTCCACTGAAGGGATTTTTTTTATTTTAAGTATGTTAATCACGACACCTTCTCTCACAATTTTCCAATGAAAAAATTCTATTGCAATTTCTTTGACTTCTTGTCACAGATTGACTGGACTACAAATCTCGTCAAGACCTAATAGAGTTCACTGGTCAAGACGAGTCTAGCAAGAATTGAATGTCTAGCTTGCGGGAATACGCGTCTTCATCGTTTTCCACCATTACATCTACAATAAATTCCATTGCCATGCAATTTTGCAGTAATTTCGAAGAAAACATTGTACCTGTTTTTAGCTTGAAGATGGTGTTCACCTGTTAATGTGAGAAAAAATATTAATTGGCAAAAGCCTAGGTTACAAGTGAGATTTAATTTCTCCGGCGTTCGCAATTAAACGGGACTGCGGCAACGGGGCACAGGTCTGGGCCAAAGAGTGCTCGATATCATATAGATGGTTTATAGAAATACAATTTTGACGAAGCAGTAGCCAACTTAATTGTACGCATGCAGAAGAGCGCGAGGTGGCGCTTCGCTTCTGGGAAGAGTGCGAGGTGGCGCTTATCTTCCGAGCTTTGGAATAGACCTGGGGCAAAGAAAGATTCAATCTTCCTCTGCGTCATACATCTGTATTAAGCAAACTCAAAACGTGGATGTACAACTGTGCATTCACTTCGAGATTCACTTAGAAATTAGAATTTTTGAGGGGGCTCAGCCCTCTGCTTCTAAAAGTTAGGGGGGGGCTCAAGCCCCGCTGCCTCCGTGGTTCCTACGGCCATGGTTCGAGAGGTTCGATTCCTGCCAGATGACGCATAGTTGCATTTATTGCAGCTCTTCTTGGTTAGGTCTAATAAATGTATTTCAAAAACTCATTAATAATTCATGCGGAAAACACAAAGAAAAATCATAAGCGTGTCGTATCTTTATATATGTGATAGAGATTGGGAGATTTGGGGCAACGGTGGGCAAGTGGTTAGCGCACTTGCCTTTCACCTCTGAGGCTGCAGGTTCGAGTCTCACTAAGTACCTTCTCAGTGCGACTCGAACCCAGTCCCCATGTGAAAAGAGTAAAAGTCAACGCTCTGCCGAAAGCCGTGGGTTTTCCCCGGGTAATCCGGTTTCCTCCCACAGGGAAAGTTGACAGGGTGGGTTAGGTAAAAAGGGCCCACAGTAATTGGCATATGCTGTTGTGGTGACCCTGCCTAGTTGGCGAAGCTAATAAAAAAAAAAAAAAAAAAAAAAGATTTGCGTTGAATTACATAAACATCAGCTTTGATTTTCTCGACTTAAGGGAAAGTACATCTATTATGCCTAGGGGGGGGTGTGAAGATGTCTTGAAAAAACCTCATATTTTTACAGAGACCCTGTTGAGGATATTGGTGAATTTTCGATGCCCCTCCCCTCCAAGTTTTTACAATTTTCAATGCCCCCCCCCCAGTCTAGAGTCCGGAATCGAAGGAGTACAATCTGGAATTCTCTCTCATCGCAGATACAAATTGCAGTTCCTCAAGATGTCTGATATACTCCTGAACAAATATTCTCCTGAATAAAAATATATTCTCATGAACAAAAATACTGACTTGCTGCTTCTTAATACCGACTTGCTGCTGTCCATATATTCTCCTGAACAAAAATACCGACTTGCTGCTTCTTTCACCTCACTATCGCCAGATGAAATGGCACCGTTTTTAAAAAACCGTTTCAGATTGGTTGTTGTCCATCATTCAGCATAGTCGGAGTCTTGAACACGTTCATGTAGTGGCCGGGATTTTCTGGATCATGGTAATGTGCTGGAACACTAGAGAACCTCGCCCCCACCCAACGTATCTCCTGGCATATGTTGCAAATTTCTTTGCATGCCTGTCAAAAATGCCAGTATGCTTCAAGTTCTTTAATTTTCATCCCGTTTGTCCTAAATATCCCATGAACATCTCATTCTTACAAATCATATGTTTTTTTTTGTTTTTGGAACTGCTACTTTTTGGCGGGTAAATTATGTCACAATCCTGGCGCCAAAAAATTAAAAATGAGCTATAGGTGATTTCATGTATCCATTTAGAAGAGCAGACTAAGGATATCTTAAAACGGAAATCGGTTTCGAAATACAACCATCAGGGACATGGCGAAGCATCTGAAGTTGGGTGGAAAACATGTTGGAGGATTTTATCTGCAATTTGAATTTCAATGTTAAAAATTTACCTGAAATGTAACAATTATAATAAAGCTTTTTGTGATTGATTTGCACTGTTATACTAAGTTTCAGGAGAAAAGGGGGGTCTGTGGGTTCTCCCCCTGAAAAATTTTACATTTTTGGATTGCTTTAGGACGGAATTTCTGGCGTTTTCTAAAGCAAATTTGCAAACAAATTGGATGAAAATTGACTGTATTTTACAAAAATGGTTATCATTTCACAAAAATAATTACTTTATTATGCAAATTTTACCTGAAAATGTCAAAATTTTAACTTGAATTTTACATAATTTGTGCCTGAATTTCACAGTAAGGGGGGTTACACTCCTATCCCACCCCCCGGTCGGTACGTCCCTGACAATCATTCCTTGCAAAGACATAATGACTTAAATTTCTAAAATCCGCCATTTTGTTCTATTTTTAGTAACAATATGGCGGAGTTTTCGACATTTGTATCGCTATATCTTCCCATAAAATGATTGTATTTAGAAACAGCTTTCAGTTTTAAAGTACCCTTAGTCAGCTCTTCTAAATGGATTTATAAAATCACCAATAGCTTATTTTCATTTTTTTGGCGCCAAATTTGTGACATAATTCACCCGCCAAAAAGTAGCAATTCCAAAAACAGAAAACATATGATTTGTATAAAGAACGATATGTTACTTCACCGTGACGTGTGTATTATATTTTTGCCATATTCACCAATAGCAATTTTCAATTTACTCTATTGTTTGCAGGGCTTTCAGAATTATTCGGAGTAGGTGGCTGTTTTGATAAAGTAGGCGGCTGTTGGGAGGGCGCGACCTAGCCTCCTGCAGGCAACTCTGTGGCATCCCAAATGGCATACTTTTGAAAAACACCCATCAAAACCGAGCTTTTTATACTTTCGCGAACGGCGAATTCATATTATTTAATGTGGTTGTGGGCGAGTAGTAATAAAGATCCTCCTTTAATCCGCAAATTATCTCTCAATCCTAATTTTATTGCTACTCGGCCAAAACCACATTAAATAATATGAATTCGCGAAAGTAAAAAGCTCGTTTTTGATGGGGATTTTTCAAACGTATACCATTTGGGATGCCACAGAGTTGCCTGTGGAGGAGGCTAGCGGCCGCCTAGGTCGTCATCCAAATGAACTATAGTGTATATTGATTAGATAGCAACACAACTGAGCTCTGTAACCAAGATTTAATTAAGGAGGCAAATAACTAAATCGGTTTTACGAAATAGTACGTCGTTTTGGCCGGCTATAAAGTAGACCAGGTTTTTTGAAAGCTTAGAGTGGAGGAAGGAGAGCAGAATTTATATTTCAAGTACTAAACAAAGTAACCGGCGGCAAACCTCATAGCACCTGCCGGAGCTCCGGCGACCGCTGGGCTATTTTGAAAGCCCTGTGTTTGAGCCATGGATAGGTAACTTTCCTAAAACATTGCTATTGGTTAAGTTAGTCGGGTAAAAATACAATACGCACGTACGTGATGGTAAAAGACCAGATTTACGAATGTTCTTGTTCACTAAAATAGATAATGAGTTATATTGCTATTCTAATGAGTTTCCAAACCATCTATTATAGTAACAATGGTGGGAGTGAACACTCCAGGCCCTTGCTGTACCAAGAACTTTCAGAGCCCCCCTTTAATGCCAGAAAATATTTCGGTGCCCCCCATTTTTAAAAAATTACTTCGCCAATTATGAACTTACTAGATCGATCGTTTTTGAAGCAATTTAAAACATTCGGAATGCGTGTTTTATCAGACCTACTCGGCAGGGGCGCCGGAAGGACTGAAAAGCGGCGGGGGCAGAATCTTGAAAAGGGCACTCGAGAGCCTAAAGCGCGAGACCTCGTAGGCGTGTCCAGGGCATCCTCACCCGGTAAATTTGTAAACAGTAGAGTCTATGAAATGCCATTTCGTGCGTTTTGGCAGTGATTTGACATAATTTTGAGTATTAATAAACGTCACGTAAAATAGAAGAAAAAAACTGTGAAAATTTTAAGTATATTGGTGGAATATTTTGGTAGCTGATGAAGTCTGACAGCTTGCAGCCAAATATTTCTATATACTGTACACTAGATCAGATTTTTAATAGATTATTTTAATCAATTGAGTAGATTATAACATGTAGGTCACGAACATTGTGCAAGGCGAAACAGAAAGACGGCACAAAATACTGTCACAGTAGGAAGCTAATTACGCAAATACAGTTCATGGATGCAAATATACTCGCACAATTACAATGTATAGAGTAAACTAAATTGATACTGTAATAAGATAAAGGAATAATAAACCGATAATACCTTATACCCGTATAAAAGTTCACTCACACTCACACTCAATGAGTGGAAATTCAATCTGAGCTTCTCTCAAGTCTCATTACTGTTTTGAATAGATGGCCGAAGGGCTAGCTCCTTACTATGTGACCCAAGAGAAGCTCAGATTGAACCTCCACTCATTGAGTGTGAGTGAGCTTTTAATAGAATACAGGCGTTAGACTTGTAACACTGTACTATAAAAAGAAATCGATTACTCCAATCCTTAATCATTGCTTCCTTGCTTGCGTATGCCGATGTACAGTTATCCCAACCAAAAAACCTAGTCAATTAGCCTGTCTCACGAAGGCCAAATTCGCCATTTTTGGGGTACTTTTTTGATAACGACGTGGAAAAGTTTATGCGATGTGAAAACATTTTTTCAAATATTTAACTGTTAATTAACTTATAATGACTACACTCACAATTATAGTTATAATACAATTCCCTTATTCACTGCGTACAATCTCAGATTTGGAAAAGGCAGTACCCCAAAAATGGCGGCGTGAGAAAGGCTAATTAACTATCACGGTCAGTGCTTCTTATTTATAGTAGACAAAAGGAAGTTAAATAGAATAGAATAGAATCTTTATTTCACGAGGGAAAACGTATTAACCGTAAAAGTTATCTAACATACGGACAAAAAAAAAAAAAAAAAAAAATAGACTAAAAACTGAACTTAATTAATAAAGTTGCGTATCTCGGGTGGAAAACCACAAGAAGCTGGGATGCTCTAAAACAATCTAGAACAGAGGAAGACTTATCACGAATGCATTATTGTAGTGCCAGTCTGCCAGACCATGACTTCGGCCACAGAAATTTATAATTAGGTGTGCCAAGAAACTAGAAAAATATAGAAGGCTTGAAGATAACAAGCAGGGACGTCGCTACAGTGGGGGTGTGGGGGGTGTAACACACCCCCAATAATTCAAAACGGTCAAAGTTGGTAAAAATAGAACTAAAATTTTAACAATTTCTAAGCTTTGGTCATGTTTAATTTGCGTGGAAACAATTGCAAGCCTTGCTTATTTTGGTGGGAAAATATTTGAAGCATTGCTTATGTTAGTCCGGAAAATGCTTTGACAACCCCACCCGTCGACAACATTTCGGGAAACATTTCTACTACTTGGTCAAAATTCAGTAGGAAAAGTTGGTCAAACCCCCCCCCCCCCCAATGTTGATGTATTCACGACGTCCCTGATAACATGACGATCAACTTAGCCTGCGTACTGCCTAAAAGAACCTTGAAATGAACTTGATCATAATATACACTTATACATATGATGGCCAGTCAACAATAATAACTTATTAGTTAATTCCGTTAATCATTTTTTGTCACAAAAGGGGGCAACCAGCTGCCCCTGCACTGTTAGGGCATCGGGGGCCGCTGCCCCCTCTGCCCCCGTGGCTCCGGCGCCCCTCCAACTCGGTTTTGCCTCGTATCTTTATAATCTAATAAAACACTGCTGCTCATGTTTTAAATACTAGCATAAAATGTACCCTTGATATTTTCAATCTACAAAACCCACCAACTGTAATTCAATAGAGTGAGATGCCAACAAAACCATAATAATTATTTACTCATACCCAACCCTGGTTTCCAGAGGTTCTCGTATCTTCCGCCTACAGTAGCTATTCTCGCACCTCTGGTGGCACGCGATATAAATACCACTTCCTTTGTAACAAAATTTGTACCGAGCACATGATTGGTTACTTATAATTAGCAGTCACATGAAGTGATGTGATTGGCTAAACAAAAAAACCTGTTTATAAATCTCCGCAGAGAACATGATGTAAACAAAATACAGAAATATGTATTTAACGTATTAATTAAAATGCTTTTCTTATAGCAGTGTTGTAGGACTCGAGTCCGGACTTGAGGGTATGACTCGGACTTGAACACATCGGACTTGGACTCGATATAAAAAAACTCGGCCTTGACACCTCTGGACTTGGGAATTTAGGTCAAGTCCTGTACGAGTTCACCACTTAAATTTCCTCATTGATATACTCATTGCGTTAAAGTTATGGCATCCATTGCTATACCCGGCGTTAAAACAGCACAAATTGCTCCGTCAATACGCGTTTCAAGCTTAATTTTCCAAAGATCTTTTTCGCGACAAGAATATATGCCAATATGGAAACACTACGTGTTCGTTTTTGCGACAAAATTCGACGTGACGTGTAATAACTCACTGACCAGATGAGAGAGTTGGAGATCACATGATTTATACCTTACGATCTTTTAATTATTAATCAATGCTTTTTCGTTCGATATAGAAAGATACATTATTTACGGAATTCAATACTTTAAACTAAGTGTTTCATCAGTTTATTTTATTCGGATACATGCATTTGCATGCACTGCATGTAATGTAGCGGGGCCTTATACTGCTTTGCACTTTATATGTTTTAAACTTGAAATTGAATATCACTATAGTCTGATCTGTTTGCCACCACCATATACTGATAAAACCTTATGTTCCACACAAAACCTAACATGATGTCTACAAAACATTAATTCAGCCTCATTTTGATTACTGTTCTCCCCTGTGGGATAACTGTGGTTTGGGACTTCAAGACAAATTGCAAAAATTCCAAAATCGAGCAGCAAGGGTGATTACCGGAGCTGACTACGATGTAAGATCGTCTGAAGTCCTAAACAAATTAGGCTGGGAAACCCTAGCTAGGAGACGAGAACAAAACAAGCTAGTATTGATGTATAAAGTCTTGGGGAACCACACTGCGCCAAACCTTAAAGATCTTTTTTCTCGGAGAAATGCATCGCAGAATATTTATGATTTACTCAATAGCGAAACTGATCTCTCGTTAAAAAAACCGAAAACGGAATTTCTAAAGAAAACATTTGGATACAGTGGAGCAATTCTATGGAATAGTCTCCCGCAAGATGTCAAGGCAGCTGAGTCAATTACGTCATTTAAAACAATGGCGAAATTGCATTTAACCAGATGATAAGCTAATTTCTCCAGGACCAAATGATGGGAGGACAATATAGATTGTGGGCGGGAGGGGGTTAGTTTTGCGTGAGGGTGGGTGGGTACTTGTTTAGGGGTGGAGGTTTGGGAGGAAGATGATAATATTTTAGGGTGGGATTCTTACATATTTTGTTCTATATATAATTAACATTTAGCTCTTTGTGTGTATACGCCCTTCGTGGAAACCAGTTGTAAATAATTGTCGAAGTTAGCGTATTGAAATAAAGTTTTACATTACATTACATTACATCACTTTGATTACACCGTGACTTCTGCAAAAATGCATTAAGTGGCTGTGGATTGTTAAAATATTATTATACTTTATCATTTTGGACTTGGACTCGAAATATTTAAGACTTAGACTCGAAAATTTTGGACTTGAAATTTTGCTACGGGAGTTGGGCTCGTACTCGGGCTTGATTGTATAGGACTCACCGACTCGGTCAACTGGGACTTAGACTCGTAAGTTGTGGATTTGACTACAACACTGTTACTTATAGTCATGGCAGTTATGCAGTGTGGGCTATTTGAGATTAACTTTGTTTGTTCCCCTACGAACCTCTGAGATATGAACTCACTGCTTAAAAAGATTTTCTGCGCTGGAGAAGAGCCGCCATCGCGGCATGACTTGAGTTGACGGCATCGGACACGCCCACTCTATTACAGTAATATTGTAAATATAAAGTGTAACAATTGCTTAATAATATTCTTTGACTTTAATAGTTATATTAACACGATTTATTTTGCCAATATTTTACCGTTGTCCTTTTAAGAACAACCATATCCTCTGTTGCATATATATTATATATTAACGGCTTATTGACCTCGCTTGTTCGGTCTGTACTGTACGTGAAATATCAGACCGAGGTTTTTTAGTTTTTTACAAAAAACTGAGGTCTGGCTGAACTGAGTCTGTGAGCATAATTAGACTAATTATGCTTTTCGCGCGAATTAAATCGGCTATCGTCAGTTTCACTGGGTAACAATATACGGTAGGCATCATGCATGCTCAATCAAAAACAATTTGGTTGTTTGAAATTTTTATCTGTAAATTTTAATGACACACAATTGGAAAATTAAAAAGCAAAAAATATTTCTGTTTGCAAAGCAAAAATTTCCCGCCAGATAAGCGACATCCGGGACACCGGTCCAGATACGGAAAATACGGACCACGGTCCGGATATGGTTTTTACGGACCGCTTGTCAACCAATCAGAATACAGAATTTTGAAAAGCCATATAATAAATAAATATTATTCCTTCACTTTTGACTTTTGGATTTTATATACGTTCACTAGCAATACAAACGGCATGATTCCACAACTTTAACAATTATATAAGGTTGCTTTTGCTATGCAACTCTACAATGGCTGTACCGGCATGCAACGTTGCGAGAATAATCCACATGTTTCTAAGAAGTTGTATAGGCTGCTTATTTTTAATATTTTACACAAGGTCAAGGCTGCCAAACACGGCAAACAGTCAAAGAGAGCTATTTTGGTATTTTGGTAGTATGACATGCAAACCCGGAAGTTTTTAAAAACACGTCAAAAAAGATAAAACCGGTTTTGCAAGTCTCAAACGGTAATTCTGCATGGAAGTGAGATTCGCATTGCGTGCCACCCGCCGTTCCTTCGTACAAATTACGTAATTTATACGGCGGCACAAGAACCTCTGGAACCAGGTACCCATACCCATACCCATACATTGACATGGCAATACGCATTACCTGTTTAATCAGGGCGTAGGAAGCATCAAAAAGTTGGGGGGGGGGCGGTTACGATGGGCACTTTTCGAAAGAAAAAGGGCACCTAAAAAGTTTTTCCAGGAAATGTTGACGACGGGGGGGGGAGGTCAACTCAGAACATTTTTCCGGACATATCATTATCTTTGGAAACATACAAAAAATTTTCCGGACATATCATAATTTTTTCGAAAATACCTACATTTTTCCGGACATACCAAAATACAAAATAAATGCAATCATAAATCAAAGGTCATTGAGGCAAAAATGCAATCTGAACGACATTTTTACGATGTCAGAAGGGCTTCATGTCCTACGCCCCTGCTGTTTATGAACTTGTAGTTCGAGCTCAAGAACTGGACTTTATTTTACGTCTAAATATTTAATGTATATAATTTACACTCGATGATTTCCATCCACAA